TCACAGGCTCGTGACTGCATCTAAGATTGGTAAGTCAAGTATACCTACTTCAGTCTATGTAGCAAAATATGATTTCTTGACTAGACAACTTGGGGGTTAGAGGAGGAATTTTGGGGTCAAAAGCATTTGGGGGGATTTTCTCTTTTCTCTTGCACGATCTTATATTTCCTCCTCTTGCTATTTTCCCCCTTGACATGTGGCTTCCACATCTCTGTCTTTCTGTTAACTGTGTTGTGCCTTCATCATTGCCTTCACAAGGATGTCTCCTCACCTCCTGCATGTACTTTTAAAAAAATTGCAGTAAAATGTACATAACATAAAATTTACCATTATAACCATTTTTAAGTTTACAATTTAGTGGCATTGAGTATATTCACAATGTTTTGTAACCAGCACCAATCAATTTTCCAGAAACTTTTTTATCATCTCAAACAGAAGCTCTGCACCCATTAAGCAGTAACTCCCTCATTTCCCCTGCTGCTAGCCCCCTGGTGACCTCTTATTCCACTTGCTGCCCCTGGGAATTTGCCTATTTTAGATTCCTGATATAAGTGGAATTGAATAATATTCGTCCTTGTGTGTCTGGCTTCTTTCATTTGGCATAACGTCTTCAAGGTTCATCCGTATCAGAGTATGTGTCAGAACTTCGTTCCTCTTTAAGGCTGAGGTAATATTCCATTGTAAGTATGCACCACGTTTTACTTACCCATTCCTCTGTTGTTGGACATGTGTATCGTTTGCACATTTTGGTGATCATGAACAATGTTGCTGTGAACGTTTGTGTACATATGTTTGTGTGAACATTTCTCTTGGGTAAATACCTAAGTGGGATTACATAGTCCTATGAGGAGTGGATATGTAACTTCATAAGACCCGCCCCCGACTCTTTCCAGTGTCTGCATCATCTTACATTGCCATCAGCAATGTATGAAGGTTCCAGTTCCAACGTGGGTGGTTCTATGTCTTTGCCAACCCTTGTTATTTTTCAGTTTTCTTCCCCCCCCTCCACCCCCCCCCACCCATAATGACCACACTAACAGCTGTGAAGTGGGTATCTCATTATAGTCATGATTTGTAGTTCCCTGATGACTAGTGATGTTGAACATCTCTTTTATGGGCTTGTTGGCCATTTTATATGCCCCCCCCTTTTAAGAAATATCTGTTCAAATCCTTTTCCCACTTTTGGAATGGGCTGTTCTGTGGTTGAGCTACAGGAATTGTTTGTATATCCTGCATGCATATTCAGTTCTCTTATATACCTGTACAGTTTTGCATATTTTCACACATAGACACACTTACTCTTTCTGGTGGTGATTTTATATCCATCTTAGGAACACTACTGCCTTTTTTCTTTTCTCTTCCATATCCTTTGTATATATATATTTAAGGATATGATGGGAGTTTTAGATTTATACCACAATCATTACCTCACCTACCTGAAGAAACACTTGGTTACCAAACAACCATACATTATTTCTACCCTGTTTTTATTTCTATGTCTAAGTGCCTACCGTGTGCCATATCCAAGAAGTGCATTGTGCCTAAAACAGAGCAAACCCTTGTATGCCTGTGGCATTAGGTCTAAAAGCTGCTTTGATCGGCAGCTGCTCTGTGATTTCTTTCAGTATAAAGATATGGGCAAAAGAAGACAAGCTAGCAATATTTCAATTTCTTGTAAGCAAATTATATACAATAAAAAAAATGTAGGTTTTCATGACTCAACTCCATAACTTTATAAGGTTGTGATGGAAAGACCCAGATGGAATTACCCCCTCAGGCTCCTATATTCCAACACTATCCTGCCTACACATCTCTTTGCTTGGAATCTTGGAATCTTAAACCAGCCAATCAAGAACCAGCCATCATTAGGTGATCTGCCTGATAAACCCCTGCCATCTTCTGTAGGGAAAATAACCTTGCAATAACCAATCCAATTTTTGCCTAACTTCCTTGTTCTTTCTCCTTCCTGCCTATAAAAGTCTTTCATTTAGTACTGCTTCTTGGAGCTCCTGCTAGACAGGATGCTACCTGGTTCATGAATCATTGAATAAAGCCAGTAAAATCTTTAAAATCTACTCAGTTGTTTAAAAAATTTTTAAAAATATTTATTTATGTTTGAGAGAGACAGAGTGAGCAGGGGAGGGGCAGAGAGAGAGAGGGAGACACAGAATCTGAAGCAGGCTCCAGTGCTTGAACTCCCATTACCTGAGCTGAAGTCAGCCGCTTAACCAACTGATTGGTTGATGACTTAACCAAATGGCACCCCGGTTGATTTTTTCTTTTTTTTTTTTTTTTTAAATTTTTTTTTTCAACGTTTATTTATTTTTGGGACAGAGAGAGACAGAGCACGAACGGGGGAGGGGCAGGGAGAGAGGGAGACACAGAATCGGAAACAGGCTCCAGGCTCTGAGCCATCAGCCCAGAGCCTGACGCGGGGCTCGAACTCACGGACTGCGAGATCGTGACCTGGCTGAAGTCGGACGCTTAACCGACTGCGCCACCCAGGCGCCCCGATTTTTTCTTTTTTAATACAGTGTTCATGTTGAGCATATAAGTCATAGGAGAACATACAGCAGACTCCATTTATATAAAGGTCAAAACCTTGCAAAAATAAACACTTATTATTGTGGGACACATACATGTGGAGTACGCATCAAGCTAAGGGAGTGAAATGCTTAACACAATTTAGATAAGTGACAGGGGAGCATTGTGGACCAGGCTTCAAAAATTCTGGTCAAATCTCTTCAAGCAGAGTGTTGGGTATGTGGGTATTGGTTTCATTTTTTTTTTTTTAATGAATATAATTTATTGTCAGATTGGCTTACATACACACCCAGTGCTCATCCCCACAAGCGCCCTCCTCAAACAGTACCTATGCATACATTATCCTCGGGGTGTGCTACGTATTAAAATAAAAATAATCATAGCTAGCCGGTGGAGGGGTAGCTGTGGCGCGCAGAGCCTCCTAAAGGCGCTTAAATTCAGGGTTTGTTTTTCAAATCACCTTGCTGGTCTGACAAAACAAGCCTAGGGGCGGATTTAGGCAGCGGGCACTGCGAGGGGACCGCCCTATCCATCAGGTGCGCGCGCCCCCGCGTTGCAGACCCCTCGGACAGCGGGTCCCCGGGACTCGCGCGGCGAGAGGGTACGTGCCTCTCCCGGGGGTCGCCCAGCCGCCTTCTGGGAGCTGTAGTCCGCGCGGGGCGGAGGCATGTCGGGAGTAGTAGTTCTAGGGTTCGCGGGGTTGCGGGACTGGTCCCGGCCTTTCTGGGGCTAGAGGCGCGGGTGATCTCGGTTACGCTGGGGCGGTGTGCAAGGAGCGGAGACTTCCCGGCTGCCTCTTCCCCGCAGCGGTGGAGCCAGCGTCTGTCCCGTCTGGGTGGGGAGTGCGGTGCCCGGCGGGGCGGCGCGCGGACACCGGGAGACGCCGCGCGGCCCGTGGGTCAGAGGTCGGCCGGGGCGGCGGTGCCTTGCGGGTGTCGCTGGCCCGGAAGACGCGCGGAGAGGAAGCGCCCGGCCAGGTGAGCTGGGGCGTGCCGGGACTGCTGTGGGCGGGGGCCTCTGGTGGCCGTCTGCCGAGAGACTTCTCAGTGAAGTAATACAAACAATAGCTCGCGCTGGCCGAGAACGAGGTGTGCCCGATCGTGGTGTAGCGGCTTCGATGGATTAACTCATTTCATGCTTCTGCATGCATAGCCAGTAAGTTGACTGCACACTGCCCCCATTTTACAGATGAAGGAACTGAGGCACAATGGCCAGGTAATTTGCCACGTTTAGCTAAGACCCTGGACTGGAGCAAGGATTCCCTTCCTGCCCCTGTTACTTAACCATTTTTGTTTCTTTGTCAGGTCGCTGTGACTCCTTAAGTTCTCAGTCTCCCTCACATCTGCGAAATGGGATAGCCATACATACGTTTTAGAGTCGTTGTGAGGCTTAAAAATGTATGAAAAGCACCCCAGATTCTGGAGTCTGTGAATACCTCTACAGCATCTTCCCTCCCCTGGCTGAAGTGCCCCAGCCCCAGATGACCACCCCCCCCACCCCCCGCCCCCATACTCTGCTAGTTGAGCCCTCACGCTGGGCACTGCACCCTGGAGAGCCCTCTGCATGCAAACCCAGGTAGCCAGTGCAGGCAGCTGTGGCCAGGGTCCTTCTCTGACACCTGCCTGGCGGCTCCAGGCACACTCACCTTGCTCTCCCAGTTGGGATTTGTGTGTGACAAAGAGGGCTGTTTCCCGCTGTGGATGCTGTAAGAGGTGGCACCTGTGAGATTTGCGTGTAGGGGGTCCGACAAAGCAACAGTCTGGCATGCATCTTGTGCGAGAGGGAGTGTTTTAACCACATTACCTCTGGTGAGGTAGGGTAGGTCCGGATACAGGGGGGTGAGAGAAGGAAAGTGTGCAGGTTGTGTTATTCCCTGGGGACCAGTGCAGCACTCCAGGCAGGGCCACTCAGGGAAGGCACCTGTGAGGCAGAAAGACAAGGCAAATATGGGCAGGCGACTTGATTGTGGCTTCTTCGGGAAGGAAAGGGCTGGGTGGGGCAGGTGGGCTTAGGGTTGGCCGTCTGTATTTGAAAGTGGCAGCCTCCGGGAAATTCATGTTCATTGTTGATTTTACAGCGTGTACACTTTAAAGCTAACTAAGGACTCCAGGTATCTGTGGGTGAATCACAGTTTGCTTAGTCACAGCTAATAAACCTTAGGTGACCGTAAAGCATCAGTTTATAGCAGTTAGAAGTATGGTTAATATAGGGAGATGGAGATGGGAGAATTGTCTTAGAGCTGTATTGGCTTGGTGAGCATGCGTTTGCTTGGCTTGCATCATTTATGTGGTGCGGCTTTGCTGGGACCTGGTGGGCATTATGGGTGGTTGTAACTTCATCTCCCCTCTCCCCAGGCCATCCCTTGACACCAGAGTTCCTCATGACACCTTTTCCTCTCCAGATCTATCTTGTCAGCAGTCTACACTCCTCTTGCCAGGAAAACTGAGAAGGAAAGCATGGCTGTGGATTTGCTGCCCACTAAGGTGAAAGTAAGTGAAGATTGTCTTTCTCATGAATCGCTTTCTGGGTTTAGAGAGGGTGCACATGTTTCCATTCTTTGAGTACTTTTCTCTCCAACAAAACCTGGGGAATCCAGGGTTCTTTAAGTTTTCCCCAGGATCCAGGATTCATGGAGGGGCTGCTGAGGAATGTGCTTCCTCTGTCTCTATGTCACTCTTAATTCACCCTAAATCCAGCTTCATGACCAAAGACAGAGGCAGCGCTCACTGAACATGTGCTTTGGGCTACAATAAGCGCTTGGTGGGGGCATGGTGTATTAGACAGTCTTTGTCTTCACAGAGGATACAGTCTTGCTTGGTGCAAAGACATGGAAGGACCAAAGACACCTTCAAAAAACACTGAGCACCGACTATGCACAGGATACTGTTCAGAGCACTGGGGTCACGAAGAGGAAAGAGGTTGTTTCTGTCTTCAGGGAGTTCATCGTATTGACCTCAGTTAGGAAATGATTAAAGGTCCAAGAGGAGTTAGGGAAAAGGTCCTGGAAGTAGTGGGGTCATTTTGAGCTGATACTGAAGACCAGAAGGAGTTCAGCTTAGCTTGGGCTCTGAGGCCAGCACTTGGGAGGACAGGGGGCTGGGAGCCGAGCACAGGTGTGACGGTAAACTGTCCCGATGTCTTCCTTATCCATCTGGCTAATTATCTCTGTCTTCTCCTCTGAATCTTGTCTACTGGCTTTGATTTATTCACACTCCCCTCCTGGGCCCTTCTTGCTCTTTGCCCTTTTTAGATCCATTTTCTTTTTCTTTTTTTAACATTTATTTATCTTTGAGAGAGAGACACACACAGAGTGTGAGCAGGGGAGAGGCAGAGAGAGAGGGAGACACAGAATCTGAAGCAGGCTCCAGGCTCTGAGCTCTCAGCACAGAGCCTGACGCGGGGCTTAAACCTATGAAACGTGAGATCATGACCTGAGCCAGTCAGAAGCTTAACCGAATGAGCCACCCAGGCACCCCTGAAAACTGTACATTTTCCCTTTATTCCTTGAACTTGAATTCCCATTCCACTTCCATATGTATTTTAAAAAAATTTTTTTAACGTTTATTTATTTTTGAGAGAGAGAGGCACACAGAGTGTGAGCAGAGGAGGGGCAGAAAGAGAGGGAGACACAGAATCCGAAGCAGGCTCCAGGCTCTGAGCTGTCAGCATAGAGCCCGACATGGGGCTCAAACTTAAAAACTGCGAGATCATGACCTGGGCCAAAGTCAGATGCTTAACCAACTGAGCCACCCAGGTGTCCCTCTTTTTTTTTTTTAAAGTTTATTTTTGCGAGAGAGTGGGGGAGAGGGGCAGAGAAAGAGGGAGAGAGAGAATCCCAAGCAGGCTCCATGCTGTCAGTGCATAGCCCTTTTCCGGGCTTGATCTCATGAACTGCAAGATTATGACCTGAGCCGAAATCAAGAGTCAGATGCTTAACCAATCGAGCCACCCAGGCACCCCTAAGATCCATTTTCATTACTTTAACCTGAAGATCTTTCCCAAATCTCTGTTCTCAGGCCTCAACTTTTCCCTAGAGACACAGTGGAGAACTCTTAGGAAATATTTCCACATGGAAGTCCCAGCTTTCCCCCAACGCCAGCTCCTGTTCCTTCCGTGGGTTTTCTGTTCTGCCAGCCCCAAAGCCTCTGTTTTCATTGACTGCTTTCCCCCAAAGTAGTGGTAGCTTACATGTTACAAATGTAGACTCTGGAACTTGAGTTCATAAGTTCACCTCCAAGCTGGGGTTGTGACCTTGGCAAGTTATTGTCTCTCTGTGTGCCTCATTTCCTCATTTGTAAGTGGGATTAATGACATACGTACCTCGTTTAGTCCATGTAACAGGACTGTTAATATCTGCATTTTATGGGTGAGGAAACTGAGGCACAGAGGAGCAAGTAACTTGACCAGGGTCTTCCAGCTAGCCTCGAACCCAGATAAGACCGTATATACATTAATGTTATGCTCTGAGAACTTAAGTATACGTAAAATTCTGAGAACAGTGCATGGTACATATTAAATCTCAGTAAATGCTAGCTGTTAACTACCATTATTATCATCATAAGCAGCAACGACATTATTTTAGGGCCTGCCAAATTGGTCTGCCTCTTGCCACTAGGCTGGACTTTGCTTTGATTCTCTAATTACAAGGAGATGTGTGTTGTGGGAAACCAAAATGTAAAGGCCAGCAAAATGAAGTGAAAGCAATACCCAGCCATCACCTGGGGTGCCCTCTGCCCACAGGTAGGGATTTTCACTGTCTGAGCTTTTCCCATACCCGCAAGCTTTTCTGAGAGACCCACTTGATTTCAGCTAAGGGAAGATGAAGAGGAGGATGTTTGCAACTCAGCGTTTTTTGTGAGTTTTTTTTGACCTCTAATTTACTGAAAACTGAAGATTTGAAAGCAGATAGAATAAAGAGTACTGTACTAAATACAGAGCATCGGTATCTGAACGTCCATTGGCTTCTCATCAGAAACAAGGGCCAGAAAATGATCGAGTGGTGTTTTACATGAAAGAAAGAAACTGTGAACCCAGAATTCTATAACTGATGAAAATATTCTTTAAAAAAATTTTTTTAATGTTTTTAATTTATTTTTGAAGGAGAGAGAGAGACAGCATGAGCGGGGGGAGGAGCAGAGAGAGAGAGGGAGACACAGAATCCGAAACAGGCTCCAGGCTTTAAGCTGTTAGCACAGAGCCCGATGCAGGGCTCCAACCCACGAACTGTGAGATCATGACCTGAGCCGAAATCGGATGCTTAACCAACTGAGCCGCCCAGGTGCCCCACCAATGAAAATATTCTTTAAGAAGGAAGATGAAGTAGAGGCTCCTGGGTGACTCAGTCGGTTAAGCATCAGACTCTTGATTTTGGCTCAGGTCATGATCTCATAGTCGAGAGATTGAGCCCCGCGTTAGGCTCTGTGCTGAGGGTGTGGAGCCTGCTTGGGATTCTCTCCCTGTCATTCTTCCCCTGCCTCACTTGCTCGCTATCCCTCTCTCTATCAAATAAACTTAAAAAAAAAAAAAAAGAAAAAGAATGAAGTAAAGACATTTTCAGATAAATGAAAATGAACCTAAGTCATGGTCAGCAGGCCCACCCTGCAATATATGCTAAAGTATATGCTTGCTTCAAGTTGACAGGAAATAATGCCAGATGGGAGCTCTCACCTTAGGAAGGAAATAAAGAGCATTGGAAAAGGAGGCCATGTGGATAAATGTAAATATATAAATACTTTTTTCTCTCAGTATCTTTAAAATGCCTATGATTGGAGTGCCTGGGTAGCTCAGTCGGTTGAGCGTCTGACTTCGGATCAGGTCATGATCTCACGGTTGGTGGGTTCAAGCCCCGCCCCGCATTGGGCTCTGTGCTGGTAGCTTGGAGCCTGGAGCCTGCTTCAGATTCTGTGTCTCCCTCTCTCTCTGCTCCTCCCCTGCTTGTGCTCTCTCCCTCTCTCTCTCTCTCTCTCTCTCTCTCTCTCAAAAATAAACATTAAAAAATAAATAAAAAAATAAAATGCCTATGATTGTTTAGAGCAAAAACATAATACTGTATCATGGGGTTTATAACACAGGTGGAGGTAATACACATGACAGTTGTGTGTCTAGAGTTCATTTATGGTTGGACTCAAAAAGCTCTGTCTTTATCTCCAGAAAAGCTCTATCTTCATCTCTGAGGAGGGCCTGGATGGCTGATTTTTGACTCTGAGGCACAATAAAGGCAGTGGATATGCTGTTTAAGATCCCAGTGCCACTGGCTCCCCCCAGGGTGGTCATCTCAGTGGTTGGTTGGGAGCTGGCCTACCTTGTTTGACAAGCCTTGCTTGACACACAAAAAGCCCCTGCTGAGCGTTTCCCCTTTAAGCCCTTCTGATTCAAAGTTCCTCCTACAGATCCAGGGACATGGCCTAGGCTGTGTGCACAAGGACAGGGAGATTGCACATGGAACATGTCTCCGTCCTCCAGGGCTTCGCTGCACTCTCTCTGTCTTGTTGCACTTGTACCTGTTGCCTCCCATGAGCGTGCTTGGTGAGGTCTGGTGAGTCCTGCCAGCTCTCTGAACACGGAGCGTCTTTTTAACAACGATAGCATGAAGAAGGGGTGGTGTTCCCATACACTTGCAAGTTCTTGCGTTCTGTGTGAAATCAGATATTCGCTCTAATAGACTATAAAGAACTAAGGATGTATGTTATAATTCTCAGAGCAACCACTAAAAATGCAAAGAGGTGGGGCGCCTGGCTAGCTCAGGAAGAGGAGCCTGAGACTCTTGATCTTGGGGGTGTGAGTTCAAGCCCCATGCTGGGTGTAGCGATTACTTTAAAAAAATTTTTTTTTAATCTTTAAAAAAAATGCAAAGAGGTATAGCTGAAAAGTCAATACATAAAATGGAATGTAAACAATTTCAAAACAGGGACGCCTGACTGGCTCAGTCGGTTGAGCATCCGATTCTTGATTTCAGCTCAGGTCATGATCCCAGGGTCATGAGATAAAGCC